TCATGAACCCTTGAAATTTTATTTAAAAATTTTCCCATGTCTTACACGACCACTGTCTCCCTTCACCCATTTTTTTTGTTGCATGTCCCCCTGGGAAGGGATTATATGTAGATCATTGTGATTGGTTCCCTCTTTATCCCCCACCTTCCCCACTCTCGTTGTTGGTCTTGAGGGTGTTATCTGTCCTGGAAACCCTGTGTTTCCAGCTCTTATCTGTACCAGTGGGTAAGCTCTGGTCTAACTGGATTTGTAAGGTAGAATTGGGGTCATGAGAGTGGAGGTAAAGGAAGCTTTAAAGAACTGGAGGAAAGTTGTATGTTTCATCAGTGATATGCTGCATTCTGATAGTCTGTTCCTTGTGACCCTTTTGTAAGGGGATGTCCAGTTGTCTACAGATGGACTTTGGGTCTCCACTCCATGCTCCCCCTCATTAACATTGGTATGATTTTTTGTTCCAGATCTTTGATGCCTTATACCTGATCCCATTGACACTTCTTGATCACACAGGCTGGTGTGCTTCTTCCATGTGGGATTTGTTGTTTCTAAGCTACATGGCCACTTGTTTATCTTCAAGACTTTAAGACCCCAAACACTACATAGTTCTAGTCGGGCACCATCAGCTTTCTTCATCACATTTTCTTATGCACCCATTTGGTCTTCAGCAACAATGTCGGGAAGGTGAGCATCACGGAATTCCGGGTTATTAGAACAAAGTGTTGTTGCCTTTAGGGAGTACTTGAGTAGAGACCCAATGTCTGTCTACTACCTTAGTACTTAACATAAATATATGTGCATAGATGTATTTCCCAATCATTATATATAAATATATTTACAGATGTGCATGCCTGTAGTTAGACCCCTATAAATATCCTTTGCCTCCTAATTCTTTCCTCTACTTCCTTTTACTTTCCTCTTGTCCCACTCTCATGTTGGGCCTTCATTCGGGTTTCAGTAATTTCTCTCGGCTACATTGCCCTTGATCAAGCCCCACCAGGCATCCTATGCCCTTCTTGCTATCGATTTGAGATCCCTGTTGTTCCCTTGCCCCTCTTCCTTTCTCTTGCCTCCCCATCTCCGTGTCCCCCCACAACTGTCTATCCTGTTGTTTTCCCCGCCAGATTGTTTATCCTGCCTATCTTAGCTAGATAGCCATGCAGAGACAATAATAAGCAGAAAAACAAGATAAGGCAAAAGAAAACAACAAATGAAAAGAAAACAACAACAAGAACTGAAAAACCTGCGAGTAGTTCCAGGTCTGTTTGTTGACCTTTAGGAGAATTTTTCAGTCAAGACTGATGGGGTGCTATGCCCTGGTCCCAATGTCTATTTTTGGTATTCCCAGGGACTTTGTTGCTTTGCTCCCCTTGTTTCTTTGTTGCACACCTTAGGGTTTCACCCCAGTGTGGTGGGTTCAGATCGGGCACAGTTACTGCACTGTCTCCAGTGTTGTCTCCCATAGCACTTTGGGTTTGTGAGGGATGTAATGTCTTGTGGTGGTGCCAGCCCTATGCTTCTCTCTGTGAATTGGCTGCGCTGAGCAGGAATCTTGTCCTCATTGATTGCTGGGCCAGATTGTGTTCCACTCTCTCTCTCTTTCCTTCTTTATATGATCCTATGTGCTCTGATCAGATGTGCCCATTTCCCTGAGCTGTAGCTTCAGTACTGTCCTCTAAACTTCATTCTCCTGAGGGAGTGGGGGGTAGGGCTCCAATTAAAAAAAATTGCAGAGGCCTGGCTTGTGGCCTATTATGTGGTTTGTTCTTGAGAATGTTCCATGTGTGTAGAAGAATGTATATTGTATGGTTTTTTTTTGTTGGTTGGAGCATCCTGGATATGTATATGTGATCTATTTTAATCATTGTGTTGTAGAGTTTCTTGGTGTTTTTATTGTGTTTTTTTCTTGATGTGTTGCCTTTCCCTGAGAGTGGTGCATGGAAATCTCCCATTATGATTGTCAAGGTGTCTACATCCTCTTGTAATTCTGTAAGGATTTGATTGATGGATTTTGATTATCTTTGATTGTGTGCAGATTTGTTTATTTTAGTTATGTATTTTTGTCTATATTTCCCTTGATCATTATGTAATGTCCGTTCTTATCTCTTATTGCCTTGTTGCCTTGAAGTCTATTTTCTCAGAGATTAATATTGGTACAGTACTGCTGCTTTCTTTTGGTTGCTGCTTGCTTTGTATGCTGTTTTCTAGTCTCTGATTTTTAATCTGTTCATATCTTTGTTTGTGAGTGGTGTTTCTTGTAGGCAGCATGTTAATGGATTTCTTTTCTTTTCCATTCTGCTAATCTCTGTCTCCATATGGGTGCATTTAGTCCATTAATATTCAGTTCCTGTGGCAGTTACATAATCTCCTAGTCTGTCAATCAGGTCAAGCCAATCATGACTCTGTGTGGGCATGGCCTTCTCTTGAGGATTCTGGGAACTCCTGTCTTCCTCCCTGTAGGTGATACACACTCTCTAATACAGTTTCTTGTTTCTTTTTCTTATTTTTATAACCTTTATGTTTGTTTGCTTGTTTGTTTAATGTCGGAGGGATGCTTCTCCTTAACTTTGTCAACATACTATTTCATTTTTAAAAAATTTAAATCATTTTATTGGGGGCTCATACAACTCTTATCACAGTCCATACATACATCAATTGTTTAACTTCAAGCCTTTAAGACCCCAGACGATATATCCTTTAATAGTCGGGAACCATCCTCCATCTTCACCACATTTGCTTATGCACCCATTTCTTCCTTAGTGATTGTGTCTGGAGGGTGAATATCTTAAACTGCGAATTGGTTACAAGAAAGTGTTCTTGTATTGAGGTAGGGTATGATCAGAGGCCCAAAGTCTATCCCCTACCTCAGTGTATTGCCATATAAGTATATGTACATGGTCTAATACCTCTATTTTTGTGGATTAATATATATATACATATGTACACTGCTATGTTTATACCTCTATCCACTGCTTTGCTTTCTTGGTCCTTCCTCTGTTTCCTTTTACCTTCGTCCTGCCCCACTGTCACTTTCCCCTTATTTCTGTCTCTTGTTACACCCTCTTAGCTACTTTGCTGTTGCTCCGACACCTCAGATCCCTATCTCCTCCTTGTTATTGACTCCCAACACCCCAGTTGTTCCCCTGTCCATGGTGCAGCCTGCTCACCGCCCCCTTCCCCCACCACCCTCACCTCCCAAGTCTCCCTAGGACCATTGGTCCCACTGCTCTCTCCTCAGGCATGCCTCCTTTGCCTATCCTTTATAGGTAGGTACACTGACTATGACATAGCCCAAAGTGATTTTTATAAATGAAATAGTAAATAAATAAGAATTTTTTTTAAAAAAGAGAGAGAATCAATACACAAAAATCCTGATTCTGTTCGCTGGCCTTCAAGACTGTCCAGGAGCTGCCCCTCTTGGCCTAAAGTGCCCCCTTGGGGGCTCCTCAGGAGCTTCATAACTCTGCCTTCTTCCATCTGCTGATCTGGTATGCTACTTTCTTGGTTTACTCCGTTTTTGGGGTTTCAGACCACACTTCTTCCCCACCATGTGACCCCAGAAATGTCCTCTGTTGCAGTCTGCTCCAGTAAGGGGACAGTGTGACACGTGCTGTTGCTGGTTGCCCTGTCCCCTCTGTGACCCATTAGCTCCCCAGAGGGACCTCATCTTCCAAGCCTGGTGTGCCAGTGTGGACTTCAGTCCGGCTCTCTCTTTCTCTTCCTCCCTCCCTGTCTGCCTTTGTGTGGATGTGTCATGCTGGCCCCTCTCCCCAACCTGTAGGTTCAGTTCTGCTCTCTGCCAAACCCACTTCCAGGGAGGGGGTCAGTTTGACTCTGGTTTGGGTCAACTCTGTAGCTCTCGCTTTTCATGCATTCTTCCATGTGGCCATGCTGTCCTCATGGTTTGGTGCATCATGGTAGGGTCTGCATGCCCATTCCTGATTCTGTGGAGAGAAGACCAGTATTCCTCCCCTGGATGGATTAGTGTCCTGTTCCCAATATTATCATTTCACTTTCAACCCTTCCTTTTCTCCCTCCCTCCTTTTCCCAGTTTTGTGCTGGACAACATGTACCTCCTTGGGTTTGGTCCAACCTCCTCCTGATTCCATATATCTCAACCCAAATGTTATGACATAGGTGGCTTCTCTTCTATACCTACCATGCTGATTACCCTTACCTCAGGGGACTCAGGCTGTACTTCTCCTTTTATGATTGGCTGACTTCGCTTAGCATAATTTCCTCCTACTCTTCCCATGAAAAGAAGCATTTCATGTGATCATCAGTGTTTTTTAGTGATGCATAGGACTCCATTGTGTGTATGTGCCGGAGTTTACTGGTCCACTCATCTACCACTGG